TGGTGATATAAAATTATAAAAACTTGGTAGTGAATGCCTTAACCCCTTGCTGACCACTACCTCAGCTAAAATCACTAAATTGTAAATGAAGCAGTTGTCAGCAAGGAGTTAAATCTCTTACTAACAAACAGTTCTTAGCCTGATGGTTAATACATCAGAATATCTCCCACCAGGAACTGCTGTTTCCTTAATGAGTCTAAGTTAATGAAGCTTGTCCATTCCTCGAACTCTTATATCTAGGAAAAAGACATTAAGTTAATGTATTTTTTTTTGATGCACACTCTATATTGTGCCTGCTCCCCCTCCTTTTTTTTTCATCAGCCACCATGGAAACAAATGACTCTGGCAGTCTCCATGCTCTGACCAGATGGGCCATATTTATTTCTGAGACCATGTAGCTGAAGCTAGCATTTGAAATACAGACCTGGGAGAATTAAAGGTGTGAAAATTCCAGGAAACATTACAGCTGTGACTAATATTTTTAGTAAACGTTTTTCAAAATACATCTTTTTATGACTTTCTAAGACATAAAAAGTATTAAACATGGGGTTAATGTGCAAAGTAGTCATTCTGGTACACATCACATCTGCCACAACACAGATTATAACATTGTGTCTACACCACTGCACCTTTCCACTTTTTACATATCTAGAAATCAGAGATTGAAAAAATTTCCCATTCACGTATCATACTGTATGGTGCATTATCTGCAAATTCGTAGGTGGATGTTGGCATATTATAACTTTACCTTGCATAAAATTGTCAAAGAGCTTGACTACTCAAAATCCTTAGTTGCAGTAGTGCTGCACTCAAAGCTACCTCTGTGTTTACATCTTGGCTTTGGGTGCCAAAGAATCCCTTGGTTCATCCATACTTGTACTTCCACATCATGCAAAGGACAGCGCACCCACCTTCAATGCCACATTTCAATCTAAGAAAAAGCCTAATCATATGTAATGCTTACCCCTGTAGGAGCCACTGGATATGATGGGTTCTCTGCTGCTCAGACCCCACTGACACACCTGCGTAACCTAAATGTTAATATGCTATCACTGTATAATAACATGCAGAAAGCAGGTCACAAGCATCTTGGTGGTATATTAATTAGATGTATTATGGCAATGCAACTAAACAATGCATAAATCAATAAACAGGCAAATGAACAGGTTTAGAAAATTTATATGTTTATATAAATTTTAGAAAAGTAAGTTATAAGTTTAGAAAATGTACATCTCACATACTGAATATTACATTTAGAACATAAAAATACATAAACTACATTCTTAACCCCAGAAATTACAAGTCACCCAACATCCTAAATACCTTTTTGTAGACATCTACAGTAAGTAGATTTATTTTGTCTGGAGGAATCCTCAAATAAAGACATGGACAAAATCTTGCCCAAAGTCAGTGCCCTCCTGCTTGCAGTTCTACAACCATCTTTCAAAATCCTATGTATGCAACCGCCAGCATGCAGTTGCATTTATAGGAGATTCTTCTTAACAATGTTCACACATTTTTTAAACTTCTTGAAAAAAGTAGTGACAGAGGTTGGAGTTCTGTCATATTTCTTGTGCAATATACAATTAGTAAGATGTTCTTTCCTGCTCCTCATAGACGCACGCTGTGTTTTTTACTCATCCAAATTGGATAACCTATAGCTTTAATGCAAGGGGTAACATAAGCTACCTCTATTTCGAATAGTTCCTCAGAGGAACAATTGTGCTATGCTCTAATAAACTTGCCCATTGGAATTGCCCTGATCGACAACTGGTCACCTTAAAGGTGGAGATTTCTGCTGTGGGCTTGAAGAAGGTGGCACTAGCCACAAAAGAAATAGTTTTTACTGTGCGCACTAAAGTAAGATACAAAAAAAACTTTTGGAGAGTTGCTCCCAATGAAGTTAGTCTGATTATCATTAATGTATTCAATACAAATTTATAAAATTCCCAAGGGGACATCTCCATCAGACATCTATGTAAAGAGTATGCCAAAAAATACCCCAGAAAAATGTTTTTTCACTTGCAAAGATGGAAAGCTGTTCCCATCAACTCAAATAAAGGTTGGTGAGTAAAAGCGAAATCTGCCCTATTAAAGCACCACAACCTTACAGGTACAAACCATCAAACAGAAAATAATTATGCATAAGTGGAAACTCCACCGCCGCCATAAGAAATTCCATGCTTTAAATACTATTAGACATTAAGGTGAAGTTGCAAAGCCCTAAGTGCCAAATGGTGGGGTGTGAAGGAATAAAGGGTCATAATATCTAAAGCCACTCTAAGGTAGCCTCCACTTTAACCTATGCAGATGGCCCAGTATCCCTGCCCTCAGGAACATTGTTCAGCATATGCACCATTGGGAGATGATGGAACACTAGGACAATGCGAGAGTGCGCCACCAAAAATTCTTTATTATTGTCTTTTTACCGCGTACCTCCATATACTCATCCTGCTGCACAATGCCCATTAACAATTTCTGAAAAGTAGCAGCAGGATCATTTTTCAGTATGCCATAAGTTGTGTGATCATTTACTGGACTTAATGCTTCAGCTTTGTAGTCACTGGTATTAAGGATGACAACACATCTACCTTTATCAGCATTTCTAATAATGATTTCTTTATTCTCCATAAGGGGTGGATTGCTGCCTATTCTGCTGCTGTGATATTAGAATTACTGATAGTCAATTTGTTTTATAGCTCCAGGAGCTCCCAATCCACTATGTCTTCAAAAGCCTCAACTGCTGCTCTTCTAGTCTGCATTGGATAAGAAAGCTTGTCCACCATATTTGGCATGACAGATTGTAAAATACCATGCTCGTTAACAGACTCTGAATGCAACTGATCAAGGTCTAACAGAACCCACTTTTTACTGAATTCAAAGCCAGGGGTTAAATCATATTCTGCTTCATTCATGTCAACATGACTAGTATTAAACGCCTTATCATCACAACCCTCCTAAAAAGTGCTTCTGTTAAAAAAATTGCAAATAAACGTACTAATTTTAGAAATTGTATCAAAAACACTAAAAAGGTACGTTGCAGAAAATGATAAACCTTTAGAAAGGATAGAAATGTAATTTTCATGCAAGTCCACATTAGATACGTTAATAATATTATATACTTTTTGTTGTTCATTTTCTTCCACTGTGGAGCATCTGTCTTCTTTGATGTTTCTTGCCTGCTCGTATAGCTCTCTTTCCTTTTCTTTTACTTTCATCTTTCCTTTCTTTGTTGGATGTGTGTAAAAAGTTGACTTTTTTGGCATCTCCAAGGATATAGTCTTTTAGAGAACTGAGATGACAGTAATTCTCGAGGATGCTAAGCTTCCAGACTCAGCTGCATCTGATGTTTCGGATTGGGCATCTGAATTGTCAAGGGAGCTGTGGTGTTTTTTCTACTTTGTGATTGTCATCACCCCCACTCATACACACTGCCACCCATTGAAGATCTCTAAGATATTTATTTAATTTCCATGATCGCAGCTTGTAATTAATTCAAAGTTGTTCTCAATTTAGTGTCATAATCTTATTACAATGGCAGCTGTTTTTTTTGCAAGGTAGTTTTTAATTCATTCATATCCATTTGTACCTTTATTTGAAGTATGTTCCTAATGCAACACAAAAATATTCATAATTTCTAATGAGCAGTTAGTAAGAATCAAGTTCCATTCAGTAACAAAATATCCTGGATAAGCCATAGAGAGAATTTGTTTCACTCTCTGGACCATGGCCTCATTGATATATTTGTTAAGGCTTGTTTGATCCCATCAGATCATTATGTGCATAGGGAGTTTCAGCCATGGCTCACAGCTCTGAAGGAATGGCACGGATATGTCATTCCTTCAGAGCGCATGCGCCAGGGATGTCGCTGGCTGCAGCTCTGTAGAATATCTCCTAAACGGTGCATGCTTAGGAGATATTCATTTTACCTACAGGTGAGAAAGACAGACACAACATGGAAGATACAACTTTCCACCACATATATCACCCCTGCACTGCTCAAGAGTGGTTCACAGTCTCAATTTTTCTTCATTCTGCCATTATTTTATTGAAAATACATCCTGTCCAAGAAGTATGTCAGGGTCCTGTCCATGGCAGGAGTTCTGAAAGATCTGGCATTTCTGCCAATACTCTACATGGCCGCAGAAGTACACATCAGCCTCAATCTGGTGCCAGACGGCCTTTATAAGGAGGCTCATCACTTCCTCTGGTTGCTGGATGATCTTTAGCTCCCCATGCCCTGTTCCTGGTTCCTGTTTCCTGTGATTCTGACTTGTGATTTCCTGTTACAACTTGGCTTGCTCCTGGACCTGTCTACTCTGATTTACCCCTGATCTGACCTCGGCTTGGCTTACGTATACTCTCTCTCTCTCTCTCTCTCTGTGAATTACCTCGGCTATCCCATCTGACTACGACCCGCTCTGATTCCCACCTGGTACCTGACCTTGGCTTGAACCGACTATCCAGTAAACATCCAAATCCTGGAAGGGCTTGCATACCACGCACAGGCGCCTCCTGTCTGCAGACCTATCTCCATGCACCAGCTGTGCTTCTGAGTGGACCACCAACCAGCACTCCTACAGGCGACCTGTGCAACTTTGGGCCAGACACCCGCTGTCCCACTCTTAGGGGAGTCTGGAACTTAGCCACAAGGGAAGCCCTCTCTCTCCATTGGCCTCCATCACCAGGTACGTGATAAAGTATGAGTTGTTTACATATTTAAGACTAGACAGCCTTAATAGTAGGTTAGTTACTCCTTATTTACTTCTTGCCAACTGCAGATAACCAAATGATGGCTACACTGAGGCTAGTTCTGGAAGGGCATCAGATAACATCCTCCCAGAACGCGCTCTCCTGCGCGCCCCCGGGGGCACGCACCCAGCGGTCTCCATGATCACTGTGTCCTACGGACACAGCTGATCACATGATGTGGTAAAAGGCCAATCACAGCCTTTTACCACGTGATCAGCCGTGTCCAATGACACGCTGATCACCGGGAAATGCAATTGCCGGTTCTCAGCTGCACTTTCCTCACGCTGTCAGAGCGCGATTAAAGTGCTGCCGAGAACCGGCAGTTGTCAGAGCAGGGATCGGCACCGATCATCAGGGCACTGATGATCAGTGCCCTGATGATCGGTGCCCAGCAGTGCCATCCACCAGTTCCGTCCACCTGTGCCGCCCACCAGTGCCCAGCGGTGCCACCCAGCAGTGCCACCCAGCAATGCACCCACCTGTGCCCAGCAGTGCCACCTACCCATGCCCAGAAGTGCCACCCACCTGTGCCCAGCAGTGCCACCCACCTGTACCCACCCACCTGTGCCCATCAGTGCCACCCACCTATGCCTATGCCCACCCAGTGCCCATCAATGCAGTGCCCATCAATTTTTTTTTTCAAATATTTTGCAATCTTTTTGTTTATAGCGCAAAAACTAAAGTGCCCAGTGGTGATTAAATACCACCAAAAGAAAGCTCTATTTGTGAGAAAAAAAAATAAAAAATTTCATATGGGTACAAGCTTGCTTGACCGCGCAATTGTCAATCGAAGTGCAACAGCGCTGAAAGCTGAAAATTGGCCTGGTAAAGAAGGGGGTATAAGTGTCCGGTAGGTAAGTGGTTAAACAGTGCTAAAATACTTCCCCCCCACCTCACAATGGGCAGGTCAACAATCACGAATACTTATGAAACGTGACAATGAATAAAACCATTAAACTCTTTTAACAAGTAAGACACAATGAGAAAGAATACAGCAGCAAACCTCAAAAGCTGTGACTTCATTTCATCCTTGGATCATGCAGAGGAATTTGTATAACAACAAATTCTTAGCAAATCAATGGAAATATTTTTTTTTTTTTTTTTCTTGCAACTGTGATAGCAAAACCAAAAAATATTTCTACCAAAGCACAACAGATGTTGAGACTAGGAACAAAGGCAAATACAGAACAGATGTCACATGATCTTCACTATCCTTTAAGTTATATTCTATTAGCAGCAGTAGATATTTGTGCTATGACAATCAATATATGATCTGTTTATGCATAGCCAAATATTTAGTTATTTTTAGAGAGCATTAATAGAAAAGATGAATGGTAAACACTACGTAAAAAATCAGTTTCATTACCTGTCTCTTCTCCTCCAATCAGAGTTCCCCTACTGAGACCCTGCAGGCTCCACACCCTATAGAACAAAAAGGAAGAGGAGATTTCCTGATCCAGCATTATACTACATAGCAGCAGGCCCGGACTGGGACAAAAAATAGGTCCAGGCTCTTTGGACTGATCAGCCCCAAGCCCAGGGATCCATTACTCGGAGTCCAGAGGTGGAATGCCAGGGCCCGGTCGCAAGAGCGACCTTTGTGAACCTGGCAGTTCAGCCACTAGTGTCAGTAGGTTTTTATTTTTTTATTTAATTTTTACAATTTGATATTTTATTCTTTTTTTTTACATTTTTTGTAGGAGAGAAGGAAGGAGGAAACGAAAGGAAGGAGAGAAAGTAAGAAAGAAAGAAAGAAAAAAAGAAAGAAAGAAAGAAAGAAAGAAAGAAAAAGAAAGAAAGAAAGAAAGGAAGGAAGGAAGGAAGGAAAAGAAAGAGAAAAGGGAGACAGAGAGAGAGAAAAAGAAAGGAAAGAAGGAAGGAAGGAGGGAAAGAAAAAAGGAAAGAAGGAAGGAGGGAAACAAGAGAGAGAGAGAAAGACAACGAGACGTATACAAGGAGGGAAAGAGAGAAAAAAGGAGGAAAAGAAGGAAAGAGGGAAAGAAAGAAGGAGGAAAAGAAAGAAGGAGGGAAGGAAAGAGAGAAAGAAAGATACAAAGAAGGAGGGAGGGAAACAGGAGACAGAGAGCGAGAAAGAGAAAGAAAAAGAGGCGTATAGAAGGAGGGAAAGAAAGGAGAAAAAACAGGAGACAGAGAGAGAAAAAGAAAGACATATAGAAGGAAGGAGGGAAAGAGGGAAACAAGCAGGGAAAGAAGCAGAGAAAGAAAAAGAAGGAGGGAAACAGAAGACAGAGAGAGAGAGAAAGAAAAAGAGACGTACAGTGGGGCCAAAGAGTATTTAGTCAGCCACCAATTGTGCAAGTTTTCCCACTTAAATAGATGAAAGAGGCCTGTAATTGGCATCATAGGTAGACCTCAACTATGAGAGACAAAATGAGAAAAAAAATCCAGACAATCACATTGGCTGATTTGGAAAGAATTTATTTGCAAATTATGGTGGAAAATAAGTATTTGGTCAATATCAAAAGTTCAGCTCAATACTTTGTTATATATCCTTTGTTGGCAATGACAGAGATCAAACGTTTCCTTTAAGTCTTCACAAGGTTAGCACACACTGTTGCTGGTATGTTGGCCCATTCCTCCATGCAGATCTCCTCCAGAGCAGTGATGTTTTGGGGCTGTTGCTGGGCAACACGAACTTTCAACTCCCTCCAATGATTTTCTATGGGGTTGAGATCTGGAGACTGGCTAGGCCACTCCAGGACCTTGAAATGCTTCTTATGAAGCCAGTCTTTCGTTGCCCGGGGCGGTATGTTTGGGATCATTGTCATGTTGGAAGACCCAGCCACGTTTCATCTTCAATGCCCTTGCTGATGGAAGGAGGTTTGCACTCAAAATCTCACGATACATGGCCCCATTCATTCTGTCCTGTACATGGATCAGTCGTCCTGGTCCCTTTGCGGAGAAACAGCCCCAAAGCATGATGTTGCCACCCCCCATGCTTCACAGTAGGTATGGTGTTCTTTGGATGCAACTCAGCATTCTCTCTCCTCCAAACACGACGAGTTGTGTTTCTACCAAGCAGTTCTATTTTGGTTTCATCTGACCATATGACATTCTCCCAATCCTCTCCTGGATCATCCAAATGCTCTCTAGCAAACTTCAGGACGGGCCCGGACATGTACTGACTTAAGCAGGGGGCCACGTCTGGCACTGCAGGATCTGAGTCCCTGGCGGCGTAGTGTGTTACTGATGGTAGCCTTTGTTACGTTGGTCCCAGCTCTCTGCAGGTCATTCACTAGGTCCCCCCGTGTGGTCCTGGGATTTTTGCTCACCGTTCTTGTGATCATTTTGACCCCACGGGGTGAGATCTTGCATGGAGCCCCAGATCGAGGGAGATTATCAGTGGTCTTGTATGTCTTCCATTTTCTAATTATTGCTCCCACAGTTGATTTGTTCACACCAAGCTGCTTGCCTATTGCAGATTCAGTCTTCGCAGCCTGGTGCAGGTCTACAATTTTGTTTCTGGTGTCCTTCGACAGCTCTTTGGTCTTCACCATAGTGGAGTTTGGAGTGTGACCGTTTGAGGTTGAGGACAGGTGTCTTTTATACTGATAACAAGTTCAAACAGGTGCCATTGATACAGGTAATGAGTGCAGGACAGAGGAGCCTCTTAAAGAAGAAGGTACAGGTCTGTGAGAGCCAGAAATCTTGCTTGTTTGTAGGTGACCAAATACTTATTTTCCACCATAATTTGCAAATAAATTCTTTCCAAATCAGCCAATGTGATTGTCTGGATTTTTTTTTTTTCTCATTTTGTCTCTCATAGTTAAGGTCTACCTATGATGCCAGTTACAGGCCTCTCATCTTTTTAAGTGGGAGAACTTGCACAATTGGTGGCTGACTAAATACTTTTTTTTGCCCCACTGTATAGAAGGAGGGAAAGAAAGAAAGAAAAGAGAGAAACAGGAGACAGAGAGAGAAAAAGAAAGACGTATAGAAGGGAGGAGGGAGAGGAGGAAAGAGGGAAAGAAAGAGGAAAATAAAGAGAGAGGGAAAGGAAGAAGGAAGGTGGGAAACAGGAGACAGAGAGAGAGAGAAAGAAAGAGGTGTATAGAAGGAGGAAAAGAAAAAGAAAGAAAGAAAGAAAGAAAGAAAGAAAGAAAGAAAGAAAGAAAGAAAGAAAGAAAGAAAGAAAGAAAGAAAGAAAGAAAGAAAGAAAGAAGAAAACAGGAGACAGAGAGAGATAAAGAAAGAAAGAGACTTATAGAACGAAAGAAGGAAGGAAAGAGAAAGAGAAAAGAGAAAGAAAGAAAAAGAAAGAAAAAGAAAGAAAGAAAGAAAGAAGAAAGGTGATAAACAGTAGACAGAGAGTAAGAGAAAGAAAGAGAGATGTATAGAAGGAAAGAAAGAAAGGAGAGCAACAGGAGAAAGAGAGAGAGGAAGAAAGAAAGAAAGGAGAGAAACAGGAGACAGAGAGATAAAGAAAGAGAAAAAGTGAAAGAAAGAGAAAGAGAATGGAGAGAAACAGGAGAAAGAAAGAAAGAGAGAAAGAAAGAGAGAAAAAAAGAAAGAAAGAGAAGGGCGCATGCGCGCGGCACCGGGAGCAGACATGTTCTGATCGAGCTCCGCACGGTCTGACCTTCTGTGCTATAAACAGCAACTTGGGGTGCAGGGCGAAGCCCATTGCAGAAACAGACAGCGAGGGGAGATCACGATGAACAACAGGACGGCAGGAACAGCTAAAAAGAAGCCTCCACACCCGCTGCAGAAGACCGGCTCAGCGCGCCAGTCCCCCTCACACAAACAGCAACGTCCGGCAGCCAAGATGGCGCCAGTACAGCAGCTTGAGCCACGAGGTAGCCACCACCACAACATACCCTGCTTCCTCCAAAGCAGCCACTTCCTGGTGAGGACACTGTGCGGGACCCTTTTTCCTCTCAGTCCCAGGATGAGCAATAGCCATCATCCCCAGGTGACATGCCACAATTCTCTCTCTCACCTGCCTCTCCGGGGTTGACATAGAGGGAGATCTTCCCTCACCTGTTTCCTCTATGGGCAAGAATATGGCTGAGCTGCCAGGGATAACCTTAAGCCAAACTAGCTGTATGACTGACCACCCGCCTATGCCTTCTGTCGCCTATTCTGGGGATGCTATACTCATTGCCAGATTTTCTGCCCTTCTGGAGAGAGAATTATCTAAGGCCTGCACAATCATTACTACAGACATTAAGAGTGACTTTCAGTCTGTTTGTGAACGCCTTGATTGCATAGAGCCTAAGCTGGACAGTACAGTGAAGAGGACCTGGAGAACAGATCTCGTTGCTATAACTTCAGAATCAGGGGCCTACCTGAAAACATTATAGATCTGGAATCAGCTATACATACATCCCAAATATTTCTCAGCATCATTTGGAATTGGATTGCTTTTATCAAGCCCTGATGGCTCCCAGGCCTGAGGAATTACCCAGTGATCGTTAAACCACACTTTTATAGAATCAAGGAGAAAATTATGATGGCAGAGAGATCCAGAGGAGATATAGATTTATTGGGATATTCCATTCAAATCTTTGCTGACATATCCCAACTGACTATCCAATAGAGATGTTCCCTAAAACCTTTGAAAGAAAGGAAAGAGAAAAAAAGGAGAGAAACAGGAGACAGAGAGAGAG